CTAGATACCACACACTGTTTCCTAACAGATGGAAAATCCTTATGTTTTCACTTAACATCCCTCTACTAAGCAGCTCTCTGGGAGCTGTCTCCCTTGTCCCATTAGTATGTTAAAGCAGCCAGATCCCTGAAACATAAATGATAAAAGTGGATTTCATATCTGACATTTTAAGTTACCAGGCATTTTTCCTTTATGGCTTAATCATAGAGATTTTTGAAGATAATATGTACAGGAGGGGAAAGATTTTTATTTCAGAGACTGGAAAAAAGCAACACAGCATTTTAGTAGATTGCATAAAAATGGAGCAATAGTTAATTTTTATAATTTTTTACTTCAGCTATTAAAGACTTCTTTTTTTATAACTACATTTTAATAGCTTTTAATCTAACCATAATAATAAATACTAGTTCCTTTGCCCAGGGTTTGGAAATAATCAGAAAGAGTTCTCAGGCAAATTTGGCTTTTAAAATATTTCATCCTGTTGTATTTTGTTGATTTCTTGGGAACTGGTATAGGGAAAAGAAGAATAAAAAATAAGATTCATTTATTTCTTATTTGCTAGAAAAAAAGCTGCTATTCATATCAAACACACTCTTGGACTACAGGGCAATTAAAAAGAAATCAATACTAAGAAAAAAAAGCTGCTATTGTTTTCTTCACTGGCAGAAGCAGCGTGTAAGTGGCAACTCATGACTCTAATGATGCATCATCCCTAGGCAGATTATTTATAATACATATGTAAAGTCAGAATCACTAGTGACATCTATATGTATTTAACCCTGAATCTTCAATCTATCTTTTATTTTGAGGAAACCTAGTCTTGGTTTACTTGATACCTAGACTAGTTTGGTATAGTATTGAACAATTCTACATCAATTTGTCTCCAGTGTGACTATTTTAACTAGCTCAGTTTTAAGCCTTGTTTAGAAATGGTAATTCCTCTTTCTAAATCTAATTTTATGTCCAAATGTTTTTGGTACAGCCTGGCCAAATTCAGGTCCCCATCTAACTTACTTTCATTCAAAGACTGAAAGAAGGCCACAAGGATGCAGCATGAATGAAGGGTAGACTAGTATGAGATGAGACAGGATGGCGGGGTAGGGGGATCAGATCATATATAGCTATATGAAGGCCATGATAAGGAGGTCAAATTTTATTCTCAGGGAAGCCATTTAAATTACAATGACATGATGTGATATTTCATTTTTAAAAGATCACTGTAGCTGCTGAAAACTACATGGGGCAGGAATAGATGGGAGACCAGAGAGGAGGCTCTTAGCATAATCTAGAAGATTAGACCAGAGTAATCAAGGCGATGGAGGGAAGGGGAAAGATTCAGAATATGTTTTGCAAATAAAAGGTTCCAGGATCTGGTGACAGATTGTACGAAGGCTCTGAGGAAAAGAAGCATCAAAGATATGCCTAGGCCTGATACTCAGTTCATGCCACTGCCTTGGCTGCCTAGGTCTTTGTGTGAGTCTTGTTATGAAGGGCCAGTGCTTTTCTGTATCTGATGAGCCAAAGTTTTGGGCTTGAAATGGGGAAAAATCATGGATGAACAAGTTTAGAGAGGAGACAATCTAAGTTCTGTCTGGCTACATGTTTTAACATTCCCAGACTGATGAGATTTACTTTAAAAGTACCTTCATGAAATTTTTCTGAAACTTTATTCTACAGCAGTGCCAAAAACATTCCAGACAAAAGTGGTCCTCTATTGTTTCATGTAACAGACATGAATCTGATTTCTTCCACAACTTTTGACATCTTATCCAATAGTGAATTAGCAAAGTTTTGTTAGCCTGCAGGGGTTTCTATGAGGGTTCCTCACCTCAGCACCACTGACATTTAGATGGGATACTTTGGTTTAGGGGGCTGTTCAGTACATTATAGGATGTTTAGCACCATCCCTGGTCCACAAGATGCCAGCCGCAACTCTCAGTTATGAAAGCCGAAAATGTCTCCAGATAACACCAAATGTCCTTGGGGAGCAAAATCATCCCCAGTTTAGAACCAAACTAAGCAACAGAATTTTCTAGCATGGTGCTAATAGTAACAAAACTAACACTTATTAAGCACTTGTTATAGCCCTTTTATCTTATACTACCAGAGCCAGTAGGTAATGTTTAAAATCTTATACATCATAAAAATAGATAAATGCCTTTAATTTCTATTTTAAATGTAATTATAAATCCAATCAACAATTGATGTTGGACCACAGCCTTTTGAGTATGAATCCACTGGCTGGATTTCCAAATTGCCATGGTACATGAAGCATTTTCTACCATTTTTAGTTTCAAGTATTTTAAAATGGGGTAAAACTGGATTCTGCTTTCATCCTTGCTTTTTACATTTGTCCAGTCTTTTAGTTTTCTTACCCATACCCAGTTTAACTGCTTTTTGGCTGGCGATGGGTTGAGGGGAACAACTAGCTTTTTTTTTTTTTTAAGTGTTTCTAATGCATTCAACCTAGCTTTCAAATAAAACCAGAAGTCTTTTACACTCACAGTTTATTGACTGCTGAATATTTAACTAAATTACATAATTACCCTAAGTAAAACAAAACAGATTCAATGACCACTGCCACTAGCCTTTGGTAAGCATGCAGCTGATCATCTGGTGGGACAAAAGCATAAGGTTGGTTAGAGAATAGCCTCCTAGCGACAGTCTTCTACCGTGTGATAAGCAAGTATGCCTATCAGCTAGTTTCACTAGGCAAAAACTGGTTAAGAGTTATTGTATGTGTGAAACACCATGTAAATTACTCTACCTGCATTATCTCTTTTAATCTTCACAACAACCCTAATACATAATTATGTTAATATTTGTGTTTTGCCTTTGAGAAAACTGAAACATAAAGATAAGTGTTTTACAGAAGGTTACATAGCTAATAAATAAAAGGACCAGGATGGGAACCCCAGGCATTCTAATAGGTGCTTTACCATGTCATCACAAGTCCAAGGCCATAAAGGTTAATTTTCTACAGAGCACTAAGCTCCAGTTTGGTCCAGGATCACAAACTGTACCTTGGCATCTTGACCTGTCATCTTCAAAGTAAGTGCTATGGCAACAAAACATGGGATATTAATATAAATCTACTACTTGGAACAATTCAAAGGATTGATAAGAAAGCTCAGTGACTCCAAAGCATCAAGTCCATACATTTAAAGATAACCCAGACAAATATACCTGTATTAGTTTCCTATTTCTTTGATAACAAATCATCACAAGCTTAGTGCCCTAAAACAACAAAAATATATTATCTATAGCTTATAAGTTTGACACAGGTCTCACGGGGCCAAAACCAAGGTGTCAGCAGGACTGTGTTCCTTTCTGGAGCATCCAGGGAAGAATCCATTTTCTTACCTTTTCTAGCTTCTGGAGGGCACTCACATTCCTTGACTTGTGACCCTTCTTCCCCCTATCTTCAAAGCCAGTAGCTGCATCTCCCTGATCATTCATCTGTAGCCACATCGCCCCGACTCTGAACTTTCCTGCCTCCTTCTTCCACTTTTCAAAACCCTTGTGATCACATTGAGCTCACATGGATAATACAGGCTGATCTCCCTACCTCAATAAAATGAGCCTTGGAGCCTTGGCACAGCTTTGAGCCACAGTCAGTTCCTGTTCAGCTACATTAACTGTTTTGTTTTTAGTAGGCGTTTTCACAAGGTGATGTGACTCAAAGTTTGATTTGTATGAGAAATCAGTCATGACTGAATTGCATAACTGTCCCCAAAGTCCATGTAAATGGATTTATGTAATTATAAATAAAAATAATAATTACAGCTATATCAGAGGTCCTTTAGTCTTGTAATAGTTGAGTCTAGTAAGTCTCACCAAATTCCACACACAAGGTTCTAACATATGTATACATGCCTTTGTTACAGAAGGTAATTTAAATACTATAGTAACCAAATTCAAGGTAATGGACAAAAATTAATTTTCATTAAAGCTTTCTATTTTGGGCTCCTCCTGAATGTGCTGTTTTAAATGACTAGGACATTAAAGTGATTGTTTCAGAAGAACTATCAGCACCTTTTTTATGTGTCATGTTCATCCAGACTATCCATCCAGATAATGATATGTCTTCCAAGGTTGTTACCCCTCCATGTGGGATAGGCAATGAATTTAACTGTCTTTTGTTCTCTAAAAGTTTTATAAGTTTTTATCCAACATATGCATGTAGTGGAAAAAAACTCACAAAAGTGCTTTCAAGCACTCACAGTGGTGTCTAAGCCACTATTAACTGAAAAAGCTGCTGTATTTAAAAAACTGCTAGCTCCTTTAAAGACTTAGAAAACTACACTGAAACTCCAAAAAGAGCTATGAATTAATAAATTTCTATGATTATAAAACATAAATTCTACAGTAAGACAATTAAAATGGCAATATTAATAGTATACCCTTTATTGAATACCTATGTGTCTGGCCCTTTGCTCGTATCATCTCATTTCATCCTTATAACCTGTAAGGTAAGTTAATCTTTTTACTGATAAAGAACTGGATGGCAAAGGCTAAGCAACTTGCCAAGCACCGCAGAATGTGGTAAATGCTGGAGATTTGAAGCCCAGTGTGACTCATTTCGAATCTGTTTTTATTTGCTAATATAGTTAAACATTTGAGTATGTTCTCATGTTTCCATTTTTATTTAAGACTGAGTTTGAAAATTTTAGTAGTGAAATTTTTCTGGCATTAAATATTTCAAAACTAGCATTTGGTTAGGTAAAACACTGATGTAATTATGATTCTTATTAAAATATTTTGCAAAGATAATCAATGTAAACAAATTTGTCATCCATTTTAAACTATCTAGTTTAGGTAAAATGTGAATTACTTAAATTGAAACTTCAGGTCCTACAACTTGGATAAGTAGATCCTTGAGTCTGATGCAAAAGGCATCATTCAAAGATAAATACATCAAAAGGCAGTAACTGACTGAGGACTAACTTGAAAAGTTTGAAAGGTGAAAAAATAGTTCTCTACGTATTTTCTGTTTTCAGGAGATGAGTATGATGTATGTGCCATTTGTTTGGATGAGTATGAAGATGGAGACAAACTCAGAATCCTTCCCTGTTCCCATGGTATGAGTAATTACATACTGATTTGAATTTACATGTAGTAATTTATATTTAGGTTCCATATTCCAGGGGAAGAGACGGAAAATAGTTACTGGCACACCGTAAGCCAGGCCCTGTACTAATTAGTGGTCTCATTCAAGGATGGAGGTGTATTTATAAAAATGTATAAACTTTCAGGCCAGGTAGAGTGGCTCACGCCCATAATCCCAGCACTTTGGGAGGCCGAGGCAGGCGGATCACAAGGTCAGGAGATCGAGACCATCCTGGCTATCAGTGAAACCCCGTCTCTACTAAAAATACAAAAAATTAGCTGGACATGGTGGCGGGCACCTGTAGTCCCAGCTACTCGGGAGGCTGAGGCAGGAGAATGGAATGAACCTGGGAGGCGGAGCTTGCAGTGAACGGAGATCACACCACTGCACTCCAGCCTGGGCGACAGAGCCAGACTCTGTCTCAAAAAAAAAAATTTATAAACTTTCTTCCCGTCCCTACATGATACATACAGAACACTGAATATGGCAAGAGATTAAATATAAAAGTATCAACCACAGCATACTAAAGATGTATATTTTGCTTCAACAGCTTATCACTGCAAGTGTGTAGACCCTTGGCTAACTAAAACCAAAAAAACCTGTCCAGTGTGCAAGCAAAAAGTTGTTCCTTCTCAAGGTGACTCAGACTCTGACACAGATAGTAGTCAAGAAGAAAATGAAGTGACAGAACATACCCCTTTACTTAGACCTTTAGCTTCTGTCAGTGCCCAGTCATTTGGGGCTTTGTCGGAATCCCGCTCACATCAGAACATGACAGAATCTTCAGACTATGAGGAAGATGACAATGAAGATACCGACAGTAGTGATGCAGAAAATGAAATTAATGAACATGATGTCGTGGTCCAGCTGCAGCCTAATGGTGAACGGGATTACAACATAGCAAATACTGTTTGACTTTCAGAAGATGGTTTATTTCCCTTTAAAATGTTTAGGTAATATACTGTAATTTGATTTTTTGCTCCCTTCAAAGATTTCTGTAGAAATAACTTATTTTTAGTATTCTACAGTTTAATCAAATTACTGAAACAGGACTTTTGATCTGGTATTTATCTGCAAGAGTGTACTTCATTCACTAATAATAGACTGGTGCTGTAACTCAAGCATCAATTCAGCTCTTCTTTTGGAATTAAAGTATAGCCAAAACATTAAAAAAAAAAAAAAATCCTCAGTATAGCTTGCAATTAAGACCTAGATCACAGTATTTAAATGTTTTGTGTTTTATACATGAGGTCAGTGCGACAGCCACCTAGCATGAACTAACCCAGCTTCCACCTCCATAAAGTTACCTAGAGTTGTTGAGTTGGAGTATGTTCTGGCATTTACCTGACCTGCCAATCATTAGGGAGAGGCAACAAGGTAACTCAGCCTTTCCTCCTCCTATCAGCACAAAGAAACTCAAAGCTGTATTCATCCCTTTCTGTTCCAAAGCAGTCTTATCCTGACAGAAGCGGTCGGTCTATACTAGTGCAGATTTCAACACTTTTTTTTTTTAAATGTTTTAATTACTATAGTGTTATGTAGAGATTTGATTCAGCAGCTAATGTTTCTGAACTTTACTTATTAATTTTCAGTGTCCTTAAGGGTTTTGTGGTGTTATCAAAGCAAAAAGAAAATGCTGCATAAAAATACCAAACTTCAGCAACTGTTAATACTCAGATCATATACCTCTTAATAAATAGCATCTTATGCTAATTAGCCCTGCTAAACTATGTACAGAGGAAATTGTTCAAGTATTGGATTTGAAAGTAAGTGACTTATGTTTAACAGAACTAATGATGTATTGAAACACTGTATTATGAAAAGCTAAATTATATACATCATTGTAACTATGTAGAAAATGTAGACTAATGTATAATCAAAATGCTAAGGATTTTTATATGGCCTTGTATGAGGGGAGTTTGAATGTTAATAAACATGTTTTCCACTTTAAGATCCAGTAAATGTCTGTTCTACCATTTACTTACCATATTAGTCTTATTTATATATATCCTATAAAGGGATAATGATTGAGGTCAGAGAAATCACATCACCTTAGAATTTTATACAAAGTAACTGACCATTCACATGCAGTTAGGTAATCTCCCAAAAAGTTTAGACTGCTGCCAAAATTATTCCAAAAATAAACAGTGTACATTTTGGTACCCTGTTGTAAATTATGGTATATCGAGGGAAAATTTCACTTTCCGAATTGCCTTTTAAAAAATGTTCATAATCAGGAAAAAATAGGTATTTCTACTTTGGAAAATAAATGGTTGAATTCAACATCCGCTATCTGATACCTCATCCCTCTTCCCCTTTTTTATAAAAAATTAAAGAACCACAGGCCTGAGAAACAGGACATCAAAGGTTACCATGGTAGTTAAGCAAAGTTTGGAACTGGACATAATTGTATGGCCCTAACCTTTTTAAACCTGCTTGGTCATTTGCATAATTTTCATTTAACCTAAGTGAGGGTGTGAGGACAAAACGTTGGGCTCAGTATCTGGCGCATAGATGTGCAATAAGTAATAGTCTTCAAAATAATTATTAAATAAAAACATCAAACCTAAAAGAGTATTTTAAAATAGGAACAGGGAAAAAAATAAAAAGTCACAGTAATGGGTAAGTATGTATTAGATGTTATATTCCCTTAGTCTTTAATCCAAAGTTTAGAACAAGGACCTAGTTCCTTTATGTTAGGAGTTTTTATGGAAAAAAAAAATTTTTTTTTTGAAATTCCAAATTACTTTAATTTTATGTAAAAAAAAAAATCTACGAAGTGTCTTATTTAGCAGCACTGGCTAGGACTGTTACTAGGTTCTGTTAATGTTCACTTGAAATGTTCTGTAATTTCATGGTATAGCTTTTTGAATAGGACAGTAGGTGCAATTAAAATCCAATTTCTATTTTAAAAACATTTAAAATTTTCTTGATTACAAAAGTAACATTAAAACACTAGAAATCAAAATATAGTCACCTGGAAACTATACTGCCTTCAGAAATACATATGTAAAATACATGTATATTAATACTGTATGTATGTGCACTGTCATGTAACATGTTTATATTCTCATTAACATTCATTGGTAGGCATTCTCATGTCATTCTTCAATGACTATTTTGTCCTATGGACTTAAAATCATTTATTCAAACCATACCCCTTAAGAAGCTGAACCTTGTAGATGTTTTCCAAGTTTGGATGGCTTAAGTAATGCAGTGTGATGGACATTCTGGTATACAAATTTGTATAGCTTCATTTCCATATGCAAAATTCCTAGAACTAAGTACAAAGCAAAGTATACCTGTATATATTTCCCTAAGTATTTTTCTAATGAAATTGTGGGTGGAGGGCCAATGAATAGTTTCATTATATACTATTTTAGTGATACAGTCACCCTTTACCACCTTCTACCCCCAACCTCCTCTCTGAACACACACACATACACACTGCCCCCTCACCTACTTACAGATTAATTCATTAACAGTTTCAGAATTTTGGTCACTGCTTTCTATAATTGGTTACCCTAATAGTTCTTTACAAGTAAAGTGTGAATGTGTATTATTGTAAAATCTCAAATCATCACAACTCAACCACCAAATTTTCATTTGCCCAATCTTTTGGCCTTAACAGGTCAAGAAACTGATACCAGGTTTTTATTATAGTTTTACAATTTCTAGGTTATGTCCAACTACCAAAATAGCCCCAGATCCTTTATCTTCCATACTTTTACATCCCTGTGTATGTACAACCATATTCACAACCAATGCCTGACAACCAAAGAAAACTTTCATTATGCATAGTATAAGGCAGATTAATTCCTATTCCCTAACCCAGTTTCTCAAAAGGTAGCATAAACACCACTTAAAATGCATCAGACTGACCCAGTGATTGTTTCTGAAAAGGGATTCCTGGGCTTATGGACTCTCCATCTCCAGGATGGAACCCCAGAGTCCATAATCTGCTTTATAACCAGCTCCCCAGTTTTACTGAAACCCACTAACTTTTGAGCACCCCGGCTCTAAGCATCTGCTTGAGTTGTTGGTAATAATGATTTATCTAAATAGCCCTAAATTTACATATTTACCAAACTTCAATACATCTCAGGGATTTTATGGCCTCTGGGATTAAATCTATTACATAGCCATGGTCAACATGTCACTACAAAGCCAAAAAGTGCAAAAGCATCCCAATTACCTTATATGCTGCCTAACAAAAGTCTTCTGCTCTTATGTAGGAGGGCCCCAGTTGGCTGACTTCAGCCTGCCAACACAGCCTCCAAATCTAACGTCATACGACATTTCAACACGGAAAAATCCACAATAGTGCAGAAACTCTTCTTGGTACTCCCTTTGCTGTTTATTAGATTTCACATCTAGAAACCAGCAAAAAAAGGAAAATACTCATTTTCTAGCAGATGTCAGTTGCTTCTCACATACGCCTGAAGATGAGCCTGAAATGACTCAAAACTATGTGTAACAGATCAAAGCCCATTAAAAAGAAATTCCCAGGCACTAATTTTATCTGTAATATTACTTGAAGTAGGTCATCACCTGAATGTTAAAGTTTTATGCTTGCGGCCGGGCGCAGTGGCTCACGCCTGTAATCCCAGCCCTTTGGGAGGCTGAGGCGGGCAGATCACGAGGTCAGGATTCGAGACCATCCTGGCTAACATGGTGAAACCCCGTCTCTACTAAAAATACAAAAAATTTGCCGGCGTGGCGGTGTGGCCTCTAGTCCCAGCTACTCGGGAGGCTGAGGCAGGAGAATGGCATGAACCCGGGAGACGGAGCTTGCAGTGAGCCGAAATTGTGCCACTGCACTCCAGCCTGGGCGACAGAGTGAGACTCCGTCTCAAAAAAAAAAAAAAAAAAATTTTATGCTTGCAGCAGACTTTGGCCTATTCTGTGTATTCCCACTTTGTCAAAAATCAGTTTTTAACAGTAAGCCAACAATTTATATAAACAACAGGAGCCTAGAGTATTTGGTTGGAATAAATTTATTTCATCTGTCTGTAAACAAGGTGTTTAATAGTTATGGCATTTTTTTAAATGCATATTAAATCAGATGAGTTAGACTGTATCCCAGATGTAACAAAGTGCAGGGAAAGAAATGGACAAATCAGCAACAAGATTTGTTTTTAAATCTGTACATTATCCACAAGGCCCAAACAATAGAAGCAAATACTAGAATGTCCCTAAAGTAGTGCCATTCGAAAGAAACCCTTAATAGGTCGGTTAAAATCCATCTCACAATAGCAACGGTTCATTTTAACAATAGTATGGCACAGAATACATATGAAAAAAATTCATCACAAGACAGCCAAGTCCACAATAATGCAACTTCATATAAAAACTCAAGCTGCAAATAAAAATTGGTCCTATGAAGAACAAACTGGACACACTCCAGATGGTTATGTTGGGATACCTAATGTCCATAATGGCAGCCTTTTACAATTTTACTAAAGAGTAGAGCTGGTGTGCAAAGAAAAAGACAGGAATAAAAATGTGAGCTATTGCAATGATGGAATGTCCCTGGGGAGTCAATCAGTATGATTACTGTAAGGTCATGGGAGGAAGTGCTTTTTGCTCTTGTTTTGCCATTGCACTCTTCATATGTCCTGTAGACACTATGAATAAAGGTTTGTCTCAAGTGCAACAACAATACTAAAAGCAAACTACTGCAGCTCTCAATAGCTCATCAACAAAAGGGATATTAATTGGTTAAAAAAAAACAGGCACTGCATAAAAAAAGATGGAAGCAAACCAAATGCCTATGTGCGAAGGGAGGTGGGGCAGGAAAAAGAGAAGAGTGAAGGAAAGATGCATGCACTTTTTCCTCCCAACCATGCGCTACAAAAGGAAGACTAAATGAGCCAAGTAAATGCTCAAAGTGCTGAAAAGACATTGATCAGAGATTGTACAACCGGCACCTTGCTTAATATTAACTTATTTTAGTAATCAATATCCCATTAATTGCTAAGACAAAGTGATGCCCAACTTGGCATGCCCCCTCCCCCCAATTTCAAGGTATCATGCAAATCATTATTGTGCTGCAATTATGTTGCCAGATAAGGGTTGGTTACATACAGTGGTTAACATACAAATGATCCATTGGGCAAACAGGAATCATGACATTAGAAAATAGGTAAAGAAAAATTAGCTACCATCTATAGTTTGGTAGCATTGTGACCATAATTAGGGTTGTTGATGAAGACAGTTGCTAGGTAGATGGGGAGAGGCTGCTTACACATCAGACCTCCTCAGGTATAAAGCGAGTTCATATGCTTTCTTGTTAAGTGTGCCTCCGTGGACACCTTCCTTTCCCATGACTATAACCAATGCTGGAGTACACAAGGAAACAAAACAAAAGTGAACAGAATTATTTGGGGGGGGAGGGCAGAAAGAAAGACACCTTTCCCCACCAACAGAGGGATACAAAGGAGACACAGGTTCATACCCCATCACCCTGCATTGCTAATAAAATTTCCAGAATTAAGACTTAAGCTTACAGCTAGGAAAGTTTAAGAGCAATTTTCCCCTAATACTTAACAGTCTGCCTAGCAGCTAGAACCCAGAGTCTCTCAAGTATTTTGCCATTGAGTATGCCTTCTTATTCAATCCGCCTCCATGGACCCCTTCTTTTCCCATTACAAAGACCAAGACTGAAAGAGAAAGAAGAAAAGTGTTTCAAAAGAAGTGTTAATCAAGAAAGTCACATAAGTTTTAGCAGACAGAACCCCGATTAATAAGTTAACATTAAGTTAGTTTTCCATGAACTGCCAAGCACTGAAATCAAGTAGGTTTCCAAAAAGAACTTTCAAACTAGTAATATACTAAACAGAAAATAGTAAACTTGAATGCATCTTGGAAGCCCAATCAATGCAAGCAAAAGTTCTATACAACTATCTTTACACTAACTACAGGGAAAAAAAAAAAAAAAAGGTGATCATTTGTCTTCTATTTTAGGGCAAAAAAATTCTGGCTTATGTCAAGTACATGTTATTACTTGCCCCAAACATATAAACTTAATAAACTCAGGGAGTTATTTACTTACAAACTCTCCCCAAATTTTAACATGCTTGACAAGTTTAAACTATTACGTTTTACCAGTGAGGCTAAATGTATCTCTTATTTCCAAAGGAAAATGAAGATCAAATTTTAAGTAGCATACTCAGTATCATTCAGAAAAGGCCAAATTAAATTATTTAAGGTGTTTGCTTACTGATAACTTCACCGTACTAGCCTTGTTTTTAATTGCGTCTAAAAAAATAGGTTTACGATTTCTAATCGCTCTTGTATAATACAATTCAAAGGTCTATAACCCAAAATATATGTATATGTCAAATTTTATATTCACTACCACTAGATGTCAGTAGTGCTGTAGAGTATAAAAATATTCTGGTTTTTTTTGTCTTGTGCTTGACGCTTCTTTTTAGCATATAGTGCAGCTAAGGTTTAAAGAGATTTGTCACTATTTCAAAGTCATCTAATTTTCTTATAAATACTTAAAACATCAACTCACACCAGAATTACGAGTAACTTTTAGGATAATCACAGGGAGCTGGTAGAGCCACAGCATTAAATTACAACTCAGGGCAGCTTCAAGTCCCCTCACATGGTAGAGCTGTTATTAAAATTAGATGTGCCAAGTCAGCTATGTGAGGCTACAGAAGCACTCTATATTTACAAAATATTCGTATGCGTTAACCCATTTAAATGTATTTGTAAATCAATCAGATGTCATAATAAACCTCAATTTCAAAAGTTTATTTTGAAAAAGTAGGGAGACTTAGTACAATTAAGAGTTTCTATAATGCTGACAACAGTCTGGAGACACCTGAATTTTTGGACCAAGTATACAAATGAAATGTAATTTCCTACTTTTCAAATCTAAGTCTCAGACACACAATTTTTGAAAATATTTCAGTGAATGGACAACTTACTCCAAAATCCTCATCTAATTATCTTTTCCCCAGCAAAGTTCCTAACTGAAAAATGAACTGATGTTAATTTTTACTTCTTTATGCTGAGTAGTGAAATGGTTAGAATACAAGCAAGAAAAAAAGAAAAGAGATCCAAAGGTCAAACACAAACTGCAAAGGACTAAAATAACCAAGTGATTCCAACAATTTAACAATCTGAAACACCACAGGATTATCATTTGACATGCCAAGCAGTTTAAGAGACTTTTAAGTTTAATAAAGCTGAAAGTGAGTTGATACGAATATTCTACCTTAGAACAAAATCAGGATCTAAGAGGGCAGGTTGTAGATGCTGTAGAGTAGGTAAAACTAAAGCAGTGCTTCTCCATAGTGCTGGGCAGTTCACAAAAACCACCTTAATAGCCATTATGGACTAACTTTTATTCAAAATGTTAAAAGAAACTGCTTAATAAGTTGTAATGTGGCATGCAACTTTTAACCAAAAGAATGCCTTACTTACCTCTACCAGCTCTGCCGACAGCAACATTGTATGTTGGCTCCCCACCTTGACTCTTTGTCCGGATGTCCATTGTGCAGTCACCATCGACGTATAGACTATCTCTGATCACTGAGCATTTCTTCGCGCCAAGAGTCAAACCGTTGGTAAAGAAACCTTCCCGGTCTTTTCCTACAATCATATCTATTTCTATTGGCTGCCCCCCACCAGAAAGAAAAAAAAAAAAAAACACATAAAGTTGTAGTTAATTCCTTTTAGGGCTTGATGTTAACAGGAAAGGCTGTGTGCTATGCCAGACAGCCACATTTCACTAACGTAAAACCAAGATTCGGTCTTTTCTTAATAATTACTTAATTCTATATAATCACATCTTTTACATCAGTTGATTTGATTTCAGTTAACGGTGTCATCTCTTAACCAAGACCAGTCTATATAAAGAAACTCTAAATAATTGATAGTTGACACTAGACAAAGTGCAAACTTAAAGAGTTATTTATAAACTGTATTAAGTCAGCTGGTGCCTGAAAGTGTTCACGTAATGGTAAAAATTCAGCTATCAACTCTTTGAACACAGCTGGTCTATCATATTCAGTCCCATTACAGTAAATCATGTTTCATCACATTTAAAGTTGCTTCAAAGTCTCCCAAAATAAAGCCTGTTCTTTGATTTGTTCACTTCTCTGCTTGGAATAACTATATACCTGATGATATGGACTTCAATCCCTGAACATCAGTGCTTTTCCAAATTCATATTTCCCTCCTATTTTTCTAGCCACGACTCCTGTTTCTTTCCAACCTCCCTTCCCCTCCAATCTCAGTAATCAGTTTTCTTTCTGGGCAAACGCAAAGTGGATTCTGTCTACAGCACTGCGGTAGGCAATAGTAAAACAGAGAAAATGGAGGGAGATTGGGAAAGAAACTGAGGTAGCCACCAGAACCGGAAAGGAGAAAACGTGCATTCTAACATTCCATGAATAAGAAGGAAGGCGTCGCCCCCATCAGAACTGCAGAGTCATAGCAGGCCCCAGCCATTTCCAAGCACACTCCCGCAATCTTCCTAGTCAGACAGCGGGAACTCACACACAAAGACAAGAGGACTGCAGGAAAAAAGTTGATGACCAGATGCCAATTCCCTACAAGAATTGTAGTCCACTGCGGGTATACGAGACCTTAAAGTACTAGCATCAAGGACTGAGTTCTAAAGTCAGACTTTAAACCACGTTAAGTGGCAAAAGAATAATTAGCACCCATAATAGGGGACCTGAATTTTGGTGTTTAATGGGAAGGGAGCGTGGTGCTAAGAAATTAAAGGAATGGTCTCGTATTTAATACAATTATCATAATTTTAGAAACAGCCTTGGGCAGAAACAGGCAAAACAATAAGCTGGAGGCTTACTTGCAAATATTCCCCAAACATACTGCAACCAACTCAAAACCATCAAGTCTCAAGAAAATTAGGCAATGTGAAGCATAAAACTGCATTAGTTCCTTTACTGCCACCACTAAAGAGGGAGGGACTTGGAGAAGTGAAGTGTGCTCCTGGTCTTCGCAGATAATTGAAAGCCCCCGAAAAGCACCCCTTTTTTGAGCTATGTTGCGTAACTGGGGATAACCGTATATCGATGAATCTCCATATGAGAAGGAGAGAAATCAATGGCAGTTCGCCATCTTGAAGAATTAAAAAAAAAAAAAAAAAAAAAAAAACAACCTATAGAGCTACAGCTGAAGTCGAGATTCACGAATCCACCTACGCGGTCGGCGCACATCTCTCGCAAGCCCCAGAGGCCTGGACATCGGCAAACCTACGCAAAGTCGCTTCGAGAATCCCGGGGGCCGGGTCGGGGCCACCGCCTCCCACAGCCGGAGGCGCGGGCGGCTC